GTCATACTGATAAAGCATGTGCAAAATGCTTTTAAAAGCTGAGTGCAAACGCAGGTTTGAATGAACGCTGTGATGTGTTCCTGCTGCTCGTTTACTAATCAATTTTTCCTCCTTCATTCTCTGTTAAATGTCCAGTAAACATGAATAAACATTGACAGGAAGGTTTGGAATCACGGCTCAGGACAGAAACTGTTCTAGCCTCTGCTGTCTGTTTATACACCCTGAGAAAGACGAGGCTGTTTACGGACAGCCGGACTGGACAAATAAACAGCGGCCTGGACGTGAAAAACCCGCTTTTATTATCCATGAAACTCTACAATGGCTTTGTGTACTTCTCGTGCGGCGTTCTGATTGCCTGTTTATTTTCACAGCGGCGCTGCCGAGCCAGCGGACTCTCGGCCAAACCCGAGAGGTGCCGAGTCTCTCTGTCCATTTCCTGTGTGTGACATCATTGTGTATCCCCCCGAAGGCTGCGGGGTGTGTGTGCTGTCTGCTGCCTGGGTGGCGAACGCCCAGCGCTCAGCAAACAGGACTCCTCACACTTGTTCTCTTGGACAGGCTTGAAAGAAGACCCCTGAGACCCCCAGTACTCAAACACAAGGCTACGCTGTAACACAGGGTCTGCCATAGATCTAAATCAGGACCTGTAAGCATTACCATTCAGCACTATTTATTCAGTAAATATTTCAAATTAGTCAGTAACTACTATGAATTATTCAGTACCTGCTATGAATTATTCAGTACCTACTCTGAATTATTCAGTATGTACTATGAATTATTTAGTATCTACTATGAATTATTTAGCAACTACTATTAATTATTCAGCAACTACTATTAATTATTCAGAAATTACTATTAATTATTCAGTATCTACTATGAATTATTCAATGTCTCCTAGGAATTATTCAGTAATTATTATGAACTATTCAGTGTGTACTATGAATTATTCAGTATGTACTATGAATTATTCACTAACTCATGAATTATTCAGTATCTACTATGGATTATTCAGTATTTATTACAAGTTTTTGTTGATACTGAATAATTCATACAAGCTATGAATTATTCAGTATCTTCACTATCTAATTTTTCAGTATTTTCTATGAATTATTCAGTATCTACTATGAATTATTTGCTAACTGCTATGAATTATTTACAATTTATAATTCTTGAATTATTTAACTATTTTTTCAGTAACTACTCCAAATTATTTATTAACTGCTATGAATTATTCAGTGTCTATAAGAAGTTCTTCGGTCTGTACTGTGTCTATGAACCTAAGCTGAGTGTGTTCTCACACTGTCAGAGTTTAAGGCTGTAATGTTGTGTTTACTGTTCACCTTACTGATGTTCACTGGAAGAAACCTTTAGCTGGAGGAAGTCCAGGTGTTGTACAGATCTTTGTTGGAGGAGGTGACGTCCTCTAAGACGTGTGGAGTGAAGAACAGACCCTGAAATCGTTCATCATTTAACTCCGACAGATTTATGAAGTAACATTCTTTGTCTGTTTATTCCTTCATCGCTGATTCTTCTGATTCCCTCATGAACAGCGTTAAACTCTTTCACTCTCAGAATCACTGACAAACCGCAAACATGTCGACATTAACTGCAACAGCATTTATATGGAGGGAACAAAGTCCGTATTTTTTGAATGTATCTGATTCTCATTTTATTACTGGATTGCATTGCAAATTATAGAATCACCAACATTCAAAGAACCATTTGCATGTTTAAGGGGTTCTTTGCATGGTGAAATCGTCAGATCGATGGAGAACATGTTGTTTTTGGTGATACATAGAACCAGTTTCAAAAAGGTTCTAAATAGAACCATATGCAGCACATTCTCCATCAACCTGAAGAACCATTTTGCCATGCAAAGAACCCCTTAAGCATGCAAATGTTCTATGTAGAACCATGTTCTTTACTAAAGAACACATCTCATACAAAAACAGAAGTGGTTCTTTAGTAAAATAGTTTTAAAACAGTGTTTAATTATTTGTAAATATATGTTAGTTTTTTATTTGACACACTAGCAATCAGAATTTTGGACAGACCAACTCATAGAACAGTTTATTATTTATTTATTAAATTATTTAACCACTTTCTTCAGCTTTATAAAAATAACAACATCAAAGCTGCAGTCAGAGACACTGGCCTTCTAGCAATCAATTTAGGGCTGTTTAGGCCCCGCCCTCCCTCCTCACCACACAGCTGATTGGCTGAAATGTGCTACATTCTAGTAATTAACTTTTAACAAGAAACTGTTAGTAATTATGATGTTAGAATGATTCTACATTTCATTTGAAAAATTCACTTTTCAATAATTTAATCATTTTTACATTTTTGATTATTTAGTTCAGTTTTGGACATAAATTCCCACAAAGGTTTCACTTTGAAGGTTTATATTTGAATATTTCACTGCAAAACTTTTCAGAAGCCGTCACTTCAAAATATCTTTAATATAGTATTAAAAATACTATTAGATGTGTCCAAACTTTTGATTAGTTATATTATCAATTCACTTATGAGTAAAGAAGTAGCTGTGAGTCAGTGATGCTGCTTTGGTGACATTTGTATAAATATTAGTCGAGTATTGTATTACACACAATGTATGCAAATAATAATAATAATAATAATAATAATAATAATAATAATAATAATAAATTATTATTATTATGATTATTCAAAATAACTTTAATATTGTGTAAAACACAATTAGGTACCTAAACCTTTGACTGTAATATCAGTTCGATAAATATGAGTTAGCGTTTTCACTTAAGAGTGAGGAAGCAGCTGAGAGTCAGTGTGATGTCATAATAATAAAAGTAATAATAATAACGATGACAGTATTAATAATAATAGTAAACAAAGGTGTGTATCTAGCTTTAAAGACTTTTTGCGCGTTTAAATCACAGTTACACATACTTGTATTTATTATTATTATTATTATTATTATTATTATTATTATTATTGCAGTATCCACAGCTGGATTTTCTTCACAGTCTCCACATCACTGTCCTCTTTTTCTCCTTCTCTACAGCTCAAAGAGCTCTGCGGCCGCACATCTGTTAGCCTCACGTGACTCCAAAACGCTAACATCTGGTCAAAATGGGGCTCGTGCGTGTGCCTCTAACACGCATCTGCCAAAGGCCTTTAGCGCTGAGGAGCAGATCACAGTTCCTCCAGCGTTCCTTCAGCTTTAAACAGCATAAATCAGCACCAAACCTACACTGTTAAAACAGATGGTTCTTCAGGGTTCTTTAGTAAAGACACTGGTTCGTTCTATGTAGAACCATGAACACTCGACAGTGGTTCTTTGCATGGTGAAAGCGTTCTTCAGATTGATGCAGAATGTGTTGTATATGGTTCTAAATCGCGTCAAAAAGGATTCTGTTTCTGTCACAAGGTCAAGCTTTTGGTTCTAAATACAACAATTTTCAATAAAAGGTTCTATATGGAGCCATATAAAACACATTCTGCATCAGTCTGAAGAACCATTACACCATGCAAAGAACGCTTCAAGCATGCATTTGGTTCTTTGAGTGTAGAACCACTGTTTTTTAGGGAACCATTGAGGAACCTCTTTTTTTAAAGCGTAGAGGAGAGTTTAACCCGGTTTCACACAAACATGCCACGCTCCGCACCTTCAGCCTGGCACGTGCTTAATCCCCGCCCACCCAGACTGTCTCACGCGCGACAAGGAAACTGAAACAACGAGAAAAAGAACAAAATCTGAAGCCCAAAATTTCCCTTCAAAAACCGCAATAAATAAAAACCGCAATCAGCGCGAGCGTGATAGGAAAAGCAAACTCCAATACATGCTGGTTTGTTTCTAATCCACGTTTAGTCCATTAATGTCCGTTTGCTTTTGTTTATTTGTTTGTTTGTTTTTTTTAACCACCACAAATCTTCTAATGACCGCTATTATTTTTTTAAAATGTAAAATTTGCGATCAGCAGAATTTCACGAGCTGAATGTTGCGACTGAAACTGTTCAGTCTTTTCTCTTTTTTCTCTGCGCTGTGCTGCAGTTAGATGGTCAGACAGACGCTGTTGTCCATCTGGATATTCAGCAAAGAGCAGACATTTAAAAATGAGCAGCTTAAAGTTACAAACTCTGTGAAAAGTGTCATTTTGAGCTGATGTAAAATTCAATTCAATTCAATCGAGTTGAATAAAACCAGCTGCACTACTTATCACCATGAGAAGTAGATTTAAGGCTAAATCCATATTTTATATCATGATACTGAAGAGAAGCACGAGCTACAAAATCTGGGAATGTAAAGGAAACGAGTTATTACTGCACTTCTGTATTAATAAAATTAGTAAATTAGCGCGCTCATCATTCAACTATGATCATCATCATACAGCCTGATCACAATAATAAGAAAACAATAAACTAGAAATTACCAGTGTAATAATAATTACTATTATTATTATTATTATTATTATTACTATTATTAATATATTACATTCCACAGCAGACTTCTTTTGACAAATTTCTATCACTTTGCAGATCCATTTAAATTTGACATCTAAATTTTGGGGGTCAAATGCGAAGAAATCGTTTTTGTTTTTTTTTAAAAAAAGGGAAATCAATTTCAGTTTTGTGGGAGAATCACAAAAGAATATCATTCAATCTTTAAAATAAAATAAAAAAAAAAACAAAAATTGAAAGTTTACGACACAATCAAAAGAAAATCTTTCAATCGTGAAGGGAGATTTAATATCGTTTAAAGTTTAAGAGAAAATGAAATGAAACTCGTTAAAAATCCACTATAACGCTGTTGCTGTTTTGAGAAAGTTGAAATGATTTCTGCCAATAAATCAACCAATAACTGATCTGTTGTGCGCTGTAAGGAAGTCTGACTCACGTAAACAGAAAAACGTATAAAATATAAAATCATAAAAAATATCACCCACATTGTGATTCGTCTGTATCTTCTTAATTGCGTGCACGCAATTCCAGTAGAGGTACTTGGTAAAAATACGTCAACTCTATTATAGAAATACACATTTATTTACATAAACAGTAATAAAAATAGCGATGCATTTGGACACAGGTTATGAAACTCTGCTCATCAATAAATAAATAAACGTCCCACTTTGCACAGGTTGAACTTCAGCACCCTTCAGATCTTCAGTGAGATTCTGGCGGCACTGCAGCGTTTCCCTCATACACACACACACACACACACACACACACACACACACACACACACACACACACACAGGGATGGACTGGGATTAAAATCTGGCCCTGGACCACCTTTACACCCCCTTTTCAGTGTACACTCACTGGTCACTTCATTTAACTCTGGGATTAATTGACCTGGATTGATCTTGCTTTACAGATACACCACTTTAGCTCATGCAGCATCGCCACAAGCAAAGTAACTGGTTTTCTAGCTAACTAAGCTAATTTAGCAAGCTAACTAGCTCATTGTAAAAAAATAATAATAAGGAAAAAATAAAAATAAAAAAGTTTGGTGTTTTTAAAAAAAGTTAGTAACCAGGCTGCCTTAAAAATAGGACTTCATTAAACTTCAAAATAGTAAAATATAAACAAAGATTATTGTTCTGTTAACTTACTATTAAGTTATGCTAACTCTGAAGCTAACATTTTAAGGCAGTCCAGTTAACCACCTTTCTGAACAACAAAACATTTTCTGTGTACCCAGAATATGACCAAACTATACAATTAACCCCGACTAAAGTATTGTTTTCTAGTGAAATAAGTTAACTAACTGAGCTAGCTAACCAGCTACGTACCTAAAAGAAAATTATGCAGCTAACATCAGCACAAGTAAAGCACTGTGGTTACTGAGCTAGCCAAATAGCTACATACCCAGCAGATGAACTAATTGTGCAGCTAGCATCACCAGAAGTACCTTTTTCTAAGCTAAGCTAAGTAACTTAGCTAGCTATCTTGCTCAGTACTCAAAATATGACCTGCTTGTGTGACTAACATCACCAGAAGTAACTGTTTTTCTAGTGAAATAAGCTAACTGAGCTAGTTATCTCACTAAGTACCTAAAAGAAGCCCAAATTATGCAGCTAACATCACCACAAATACTCCTTTTTCTAGTGAAGTAAGCTAATTAAATGAGCCAGCTAACTAGCTGTGTACCTAAATGCAGTAAGAATATGAATAAATTATGCAGCTAATCTGACCACAAGTACCAGTTTTTCCAGTAAACTAAACTAACTAATTGAGCTCTCTAGCCAAAAGATGACCAAACTGTGCAGCTAACATCACCAAAAAAGTACCATTCTCCCAGCTAAGCTAACTACCTTAGCTAGATAGCTAAGTACCCAATTAGCCAATCGGCCCATAATCCCAAATGTTCAACTCATCCCAGTGTTGTTGCCGGCCAGTGAACCTTCTTTGGTTTGCGAGCCATGCTAATACAGAACGTTAGCCATTGTAAACAAGCTGCTATGCTACCAGTTCTTCGCTCTGCTGCTGAAGTCTTTCGCTCTGAAGACGTCCACGCAGTGCCTGACTGTTTCTTTGGTTTGGTTGGTGGTCAGGAGGGGAGCTGGATCGTGATCGGACGTGCGTTGAGGATCCAGCAGCTAGAGTAGCCCACCAGGATTCCCAGTATTCCCAAAGTTCAGTCCATCCCTGAACACTCCCACAGGCCCATTCACAGTCCCAGCACTCGGGTGGAGCAGCCGGTCTGCGGCCTTCTCTCCGTAAAGCCCCGTCTTCAGATGATGAAGCTCTCGGCTGAAGTTTCCCTGCGATTGTGCAGGAATGTACGTATCCAGCATTCGGTTTGTTTTTGTCCTCCACACATTTGGTCCAAGTCTGCCTCGCCAGAAGAGACGGCCGTCACCTGTGAAATATCAGAAGACAGGAGAGTGAGGATGATGTCAGAGCAGCTGGTGTTGACATAAAGAGTGAATGTTATTATCTGAGTAGTTTTCTGTTTGGGACCAGAGGCCCTAATGTGCTACTTGCTGATACACAATTTTAATAGATTAATATTTTTTTCTTAATCACTTCCACTTTAGTCCTTCGTATTCAGTTCCTGACTCTCTTTTCTGGGTTTATTTTCACTCTGTCAGGCTGGTTCAGCTCCTGAACTGTTTGACTCCTCTTTGGAGCTTTAGCATTTAATTTTACACTGAAAGGATCCAAAGAATACAAGAATAGAACCGTATAAACTTCAGATCCTCAGTTCTTCCCTTTACTTTTACATTATTTAATTCAAATTACAGCACATGGTTTTAGGCTGTACTATCTGGCTCTGCTGAAAGGCAAAAACAGGCCTCACTGCAGATAAATAAAGACTGGTTGAGCTCTTGCGCCGACTAGATGTTTATTCCAGATATGTAGGATTAATGTGGCAGATAGGTATGCGAAGATTTAGTGAATTACAGTAATGCAAACACATACCGAACAAATCTGGCAAACACGCACGCGAATGTTTGTAAGGAAAAAGTTGGCACAGGAATGTAAAACATGAATTAATATGCCAGATTAAAATGAAAGGCATGGATATGTACACAGTTGTACGCAAAATAATCAGTTGAATATTCTGCAGTTCCTTGCTGAGTAAAAAAGATAATACAAAATACAAAGTGTGTGATCATTTTTGCAAAGGCCGCATTTTATGTTTTTGCCCCCCCCCCAGTATGTTAAATGTAGCAAATAAACATTATTGTGCATTTAATGTGCAGAAGTGTGTTCTCTGTGGAGGATGTGATAGAAAATAACAAAGCAATTTTGGAATTTGGAACTGTAAATTGAGTTAAAGTAATATGGGAGCTAAGCACATAAACATTGAATGATATGGCAAATAAGTATGTGGAAAAAAAATGTAAAAAAAATATATATATAAAAATAATTTATATACCATTTAACATTTAACGATATGTAGAGCTAATATGCCAAAAAACACTCAAATTGATACAACATGTAATAGATATTGGTTTAAATATGCCAGATAAATGTAAAATTTTAACTATAAATATTAAAATTCAAAAATGATATTAATATACCAGATAAATTAGGCCTTCATGTGAAATAAATATGCCATGTAGCACCTTATAAACATGGTTTTAGATGGTCAGATATTCTATGTCCCAATGCTGAACAAAGAGGTCAGGAACATGTTGAGGGTCATAAAATATGACCACAGTTATCAGTGAAATTTTGATTTTTATTTAAGTTGGAGAAATTCGTTCCCATCCTTTTTAAAAATGCTCACATACTGACCGCAAGAGAAGGCTACTGCTCTGGTACAGATGTAGAAATAGAAAGTCTTTAACAGTGCCTGGCAGATCAGCTGTGGAGCTTCATTTCAGAGCAGAAAGATATTTCCTGAAAAGTGTAAACTTTTTCTGAAGATCCTCATTAAATTAACAGAAGTGCCTTTTAAACATCAGGCTACAGTTTCATCATGCTAACTCTTCTAACTCTGCTAACTTAGCTACTGTTGTAGTAACTTATCAGAGCTTTTATCCAGCCAATCACCTCCAAATAACCGTATTAGAAACAACTGATCTGATTGGTGATTACATGTATGCTCTTATAAAGGTTCCTGTTTGGTTCTTGCCATTGAGTTGCAGGAACATAAAATTTTACACAAATATTTCTTTAAAGAACCATCCATTAAAAATCCTATGTGGCACCTTTAATCTTAAGAAGGCATATTGCATGTGTGCACATCATTTATGAGAATAAAATGAAGCTAGAACCTAGTAGTACTGGACATCTGGTCACTGTCAAAAGGCCATGGCATACTGACCCAGCATTCCCAAACAAACACCATTACTATTATTGGCAAAGGGTGGTTCCAGGATAAGAACACATAAATGACACAGTGTGAATGGAGAACATTCTAGAACAGTTTGAATGTGGGGGGTGGGGGGGGCATTCTAGAACAGTGTGAATGGAGAAGAACATTCCAAACACTGGTAATAAAGTTAGAACACGCAGTGACACAAAGGTTCCACACACCACTTCAACATTTCAGGTAGTTGGTGTTTGCTGGAGAACATTAGGTCAGTGGGTTCTAGGTGTTGTGGGTTTTGAATGCTGGGAGTCTCATTTGTTCCTGTCCTAGAATGTTCTCTTCCTGAATGTCCTAGAACTAGAACAGTAAAAAGGCCAGAGAAATCCCACCCAAAAGGCTCCAACAAACACCAACAAACTCTAACATTGGGTTGGTGTTCAAGACCTGAGTATTGGGAGTTTTGAGAATGTTCTCCAATCACAGTGTTCTAGAACATTCTCCCTAATTCACACCGGTTCATTTGATTTATTACCTTGCATAATGGAACAATATAAAGTCCAGAGCACACTGACCCAGTGTTGTCCAAAAACACCAACAAACTCTAACATTGGGTTGGTTTTCTGGACCATTGTGTGATTTTGGGGGGTTTCTAGAATGTTCTCCTTCATTCACACTGTTCTAGAACGTTGTCCCCAGTTCACACTGGTTCATTTAGTTTATTACTTTGCATACTGGAACAATATAAAGCCCAGAGCACACTGACCCAGTATTTTCCAAGAAACACCAACAAACTCTAACGTTGGGTTAGTTTTCTGGACCACTGTGTGATTTTTAGGGGTTTCTAGAAGGTTCTCCTCCATTCACAGTGTTCTAGAATGTTCTTCTCAGTTCACACTTGTTCATTTTTGGTTTATCACTTCACATATTGGAACAGTATAAAGTCCAGAGCACACTGACCCAAAGTTTTCAAAGAAACACCAACGAACTCTAACGCTGGGTTGGTGTTCTGGATGTTTGTGAGATTGTTGAGAAGGTTCTCCTCTGTTCACACTGGGTTCTTTTGGCTTATACTCACTAGTTCTGGAACAGTTATCTGGGTTTGGTGGGGAACGTGGGGTCAGTGAGCCACAGCTTTTAGCAGTGTGTAATCTTAGCAAAAACACATATTGGTGCTGGATGGAACCATGTTTAAAAAAAGGTTCTTTAAAGAAACCTTTTCTAGAGAAGAACCATTTAACCTCAATATCAATAAACTTAACCAGAAAGTTTCCTTGAGTTTTCTACTCACTTTAAAAAGGTGGTCCCTCAAGGGTTGTTTAGTAAAAGCAATGGTTGAATTTAGAACCATGAGTTCTATATACTTAAACGGGTCTTTGCGTGGTGAAATGGTTCTTCAGATGGATGGAGAAAGTGTTGTGTATGGTTCTATGTAGCACCAAAAAGGGTTCTGCAATCGTTAGGAAGTCAAGCTTGTGACAACAGAAGAACCCTTTTTTTTGTGCTATATGGAACCACATACAACACGTTCTCCATCAATCTGACCATGCAAAGAACCGTTTAAGCATGCAGATGGTTCAGTCTAGAACTCATGGCTCTAGATAAAACAGTTGGCTTTACTAAAGAACCCTTGAAGAACCATTTTAATGGTGAGAGGAAGAGAACCATACCCTTTCTCTCTCTCTCGCTCTCTCTCTCTCTCACTCCTCCGTCAGTGCGAGGCGGACATGGACCACGCGCCCTCCATCCGCCACACGGAGAAGGCGTAGCTGAGGCGCTCGTGCGCCACGTAGCTGCAGCTCGCGGCTTTGGAGTCCAGCTCGTCGCTCTGCAGCACCTGGTACAGGAAGTCGATGTAGCGCGCGGCCAGTTTGAGGGTCTGGATCTTGCTGAGCTTGTCGGACGGTAAGGTGGGGATGATCTTGCGCAGCGCCGCAAACGCCTCGTTCAGGGACTGCGTGCGCTGGCGCTCGCGCACGTTCGCCATAACGCGCTGAGTCTGCAGCTCCTCGAGGGACGGAGGGCTTCCTCCTCCTCCTCCTCCTCCTCCTCCTCTTTCTCCTCCCGGGCTGCTCAGGCTCGCCTTCTTGCCTCTCGCGCTCGGGCTGTCGGACTCCTCGCCGCTAGTGCGGCTCCAACGCCTCTTCCTCGCGCTCCTCTTACGCTTGACCGGCCGCTCGTGCTGCTCTCCGTCGCTGAAGCTCAGGCTGTCCGGCGGAGAGGCTCCGGGAGAGCACGAGTCCTCCTCTGGCATCTCTCTCTCAGCGGAAGCGCAGGAGAAAAACAAGCAAACAAACAAACAAACAAACAAAAACGAATACAACAGAATGAATGAAATTAAAAAAGAAACAAAAATAGACCCGACAGTTATTCCCTCATTGGGCTGCGAGTGGATGTCTGAGAACAACAGCGACAACAAAAATGGTCAAATCCAAAGTTCCCCGCTGCAAAAAAACAGTTTGTTCACTGCCAAAAAGTTGGGGAGCTCTTATAGTGGCTAAGGAGAGCGAGGTGATTGGCTGAGAAAGTGAGGAGGAGGGAGAGGAGGAGGAAGGGTGGAGGAGTCTTAAAGTCTTCCCCAGAACTCCTCCCTGAAATCTACTTACTGACAGCTCCTCGCTACGAAAAAAAGAAAAGGTCGGCATGATGAAGACTGTTTCACTGTCAGCGCGTGTGGCTGGTCACTCACTGTATTATTTCTGTTTTCTCACAGGTTTAGAGTCACTTTTCAAAAATGTAGAGTCACTGTTTAAAAGTTAGAATCACAGTTCAAAAATGTAGAATCACTGGTCAAAACTTTAGATTCACTGTTCAAAAGTTTAGAATCATTGTTTAAAAGTTTAAAATCGCTGTTCAAAAGTTTAGAATCGCTGTTATAAAATACAGATTCACTGTTCAAAAGTTTAGAATCATTGTTTAAAATTTTAGAATCACTGGTCAAAACTTTAGATTTACTGTTTAAAAGTTAAAAATCACTGTTCAAAAGTTTAGATTCACTATTCGAAAGTTTGGAATCACTGTTCAAAAATTTGGATTCACTATCTGAAAATTTGGAATCACTGTTCAAAAGTTTAGAATCACTGTTCAAAATTTAGACTCACTGTTCAAAAGTTTGGAATCACTGTTCAAAAGTTTAGAATCACTGTTCAAAATTTAGACTCACTGTTCAAAAGTTTGGAATCACTGTTCAAAAGTTTAGAATCACTGTTCAAAAGTTTAGATTCACTGTTCAAAAGTTTAGATTCACTGTTCAAAAGTTTAGAATCACTGTTCAAAATTTAGACTCACTGTTCAAAAGTTTAGAATCACTGTTCAAAATTTAGACTCACTGTTCAAAAGTTTGGAATCACTGTTCAAAAGTTTAGAATCACTGTTCAAAATTTAGACTCACTGTTCAAAGTTTAGATTCACTGTTCAAAAGTTTAGAACCATTGTTTAAAAATATGGAATCACTGTTTTAAAGTTTGAAGCAATGCACAAAATTGTAGAATCAATGTATAAAATGGTAGAGTTGCCGTTTAAATGTAGAATCATTGTTCAAAAGTTTGACAAAATTATAGAACCACTGTCCTTAGAGATGAACAGAACTGTAGAAGATTCTAAACTGACTGAGAAAAATATGGAATATAAAATTAACATCCAGAATGAAGTTCTAATAAAATTATTGTCCATAATGAAGATATAATAAAACTAATGTCCTCATTCCTCTCTCTCTTAGTCCTAATATTTTTTTTTTACATTTGTGAGCTCTAACTAAATGTATTCTTGGAGGAGCCCAATCTAAAGACGCTGAGACAAGATTAAAGACTATGAAGTGAATAGTTTCTCCACTAGGGGTCACGATTTCCTCCCTGTCCTTCTTTTCTTCTACTGTATGAAGGGTCTCCATCAGTCCCGGCTCAGTTTAAGGTAAGTTTATGTATACAGCACCTTTCTTACACTGTGGTCATTCAAAGTGCTTTACAAATGAGAAAATACACAAATTACTCAAATTAGAATTTAAAAAGGTGTAGGACAGTAGATGTTAACCCTATATGGATCAGGGGTGCCTCTAGGTAACAAACCCCTTTTTGGCTTTTTACATTTACACAATACATCCTCAATTATAATGCAATACTTTAAAAAAAGGGGATTGGGGCCCCAAGGAAACCAATAGCAGTGTTTTAATTTGTCACATGACTCTCTGGAAGCCATGTTGAACTCTTATTTTGTGGCCTTCCTCACATTGTTCAACTCCATCATCCTTATCTCTCTCTACAACATTGGCCTGAAAATGTCTGTTTCTGTCATTTTACAATCTGGAAAAAATTGGTTTCACAAAAATATGTGAGAAAAGGTTTAATGCACTTTATTTGACGATTAAGTAATGCAAATGCAAATGTTGCCTTGAAGTAACATCATACCTTTATGAATTCCCAACATTTATGTTTATATACTCATTAAAAGCTTAACTGTGATCATAATTTTTTTATCTCCACAATGGAGAATGGAGTCACCTTAAGAGCCAGTTTTGTTTTTAAACCCCCAACATTACATATGCATACATACATACATCATCTAAACCGCTTATCCTTCTGGGTCGCGGTGGGGTGCTGGAGCCTATCCCATCTGTCATTGGGCGGAAGGCAGGATACACCCTGGACAGGTCGCCAGTCCATCGCAGACTCCCAACATTGCCGTAGTAAATATTTTCTTTACTGGACAATTGACAATAAATGACTGAGAGAACTTGAACCAGGGCTCGGCAACATGTGGCTCTGGAGCTGCATGCAGCTCTTTTACTGTCCTGTTTTGGCTTCTCAGAATCAGATTTGTAGGTAAAAATAAAATAATCCTCCTTTGCAGTAAAATACAACACAGTTTGACAATAAATGGTCTTAAACTCTGGAGTTAATGTAGAACTCCTAGTCACGAGTCACAAAGCTGAAGTCAGTTTCTCATTAGAATTTTCGAACAAGAAGCTGACGAACGAGATGCGACTTCAGCCTCGTAAAAAATCGAATGTTGAGAGACATTTTACGAGAAACTGTTCTACTTTTGGAAAAGTTTCCTGCCGGAGATGCGAGAAAAGCAGCTATAGCTGAACTAAAGCTTAAAGCAGAGCAAAGTCTGCGTTTTTGTTTATATTATATTTTTTAGCCTTTACTAGCACATTAGCACGTTCTGAGACATATTTACAGCCAAGATGGTAAAGTGGACATAAAATCCTGTGACTCCCAAGGTGGTTTAATTTTTGTTGAAAGGACAAAATGATTCTTCTTAACATTTGGGTTGTGACCGCTGACTTGAACTTACTTGGACAGGTGTGTGACATTACTTAAAGGGGAACCCAAAGCTTCTTTCCTGCTCATAGCCTTCACACTACTGGTGACACTGGGCCACACTACATAAGGTGACGACAGTGTACCACAACATGAGAACTGATTCAGAATGCAGCTGAAGCTGTTGAATTGTCTTTTGTGGGAGTCCAGTTAGGAGACCATTACAGTGATCAATCCTGCTAGAAATAAAGGCGTGGATGAGCTTCTTCAGGCCTGCTTTAATCAGAACATCTCTGATCTTGTTGATGTTCTTCATGTGATACAATACTGACTGCTTTGACTGCTAAAACTGAGATCAGAGTCCATTAGTACACCAAGGTTACGTGCTAGTTCTCTAGATTTTTGGGCTCTTAAATCCAGATCTAGTCTAGTCTAGTCTGTGCCATTGCTATTTCCAAACAAACTAATCTCTGTTTTATCTTTATTAAACTGCAGAAAGTTTCATCCCACCCAAAGTGAGTCAGGGGGACCATAGTTGTTTGAGCACTTCATTCATAAAGATCATACATGCGCAGATTTACAGGCTCTGTGGATAAAATCTATATGCTAAACAGTTTGCATCACACCAGATCGCTTTCCCCGTCCAAATGAACAAGAGGTTTTTGACTCCAGTTAAGGTTGCAATGATGATTCATGCAGTGACTCAAGAGTCAGGAGAAGTTCAGGAGCCAAATATTTCACAGCCGCTCCCTCAGCTCCACTGTGCAGCCAGATCTACTGCAACTCTGGAGCCAGAGCCTATCAATGAGGGCTCCAGGATTTGCTTTATTATGTATCAGCTGAGCTGTGGAAAGACTTGCTTCTCTGCTCAGCAGCTCACATATTTAATGGAAAAATAGCAGGGCATTCAGTAGATTTCTGGGACTGTGCATTTTGCTCCATTGATAATCACATTATTCCCTCACAGGACCCTCCAAACCCCACCCAGCACCAAGACCACCAATTTGCGAGCTGTTCAAACAAACTTTTGGAGAGTAAGGCTAATCAACTGCTCCCTCTAGGGAAAGGCAGAAGCTCAGCAAGATGACATTCCAATACTGTAAGAACATTTCCTCTTCTTGAACCATCTTACAAAAACCCTCTGAACATCTTATAGGCTGGAGAGATGGCATCTGTCCAGATGTTGCTGTCATCGGTTTCCTGTGCAAAAGTCAGAGACTACCCCTCATTATTCAAAACCAGTCAAAAGGAGTATGAGTTATTGTATCACGTATAAGATTAGATACAAAGTAAAAGCTCCAGAGAAAGTGTGGCTCCTAACAACCACCTGGAAGAGCTGGTCAACACCAAAACTGTCCCCATCAGATAAACAGCACTTAAAGCTCTCATCTCTGAGAGAGAGGAGAAAATCAAGCTGCTTCAGATCTGAAAACATCCACAGGTGTTTCTGTCCATCCTTCCACTGTGAGAAGACGACTCAGCGCTGTGGGTCTGAAAGGATGTGTAGCTGTCAAGAAGAACCTCACTGAGAAAAGGAGACGGACACATCAAACAAAGAAGCTGAACGATGGACTGACCACCCCAGAGTCCAGACCTCAACACCACTGAATGTGTTTGGATTTAGACGAAGCATTTACTTATATTCTCTGTGGCTAAAATCAAGCTGATACCCTACCGCTCAAAAGTTTGGGGTCACTTATTTCATTCATATAAAACCAAATTCTTTGAAGATACATGTTTGAATTGATTCTACGATGAAACTAATTTTTTACAAGTTTCAAATAGTTTGTTGGAAGCTGTAAAAATGTAGACGTTTTGGATGATAAACGGGGCTGTATATATGATCGAACGAACCTATGATGAAACTGACATCCACAAAGCCTCATGTATGAAAAACAACCAAATCATGCTAATTAAACAGTTGTTTTTAATGTCTTAATGGCAACAAATTCAAATAAACAGAAAACTGTGGCTCATTATTTAATAACACTTCCATTCCTTTACCATATTCTAATTTTCTGTTGTCTCAGAACACATAAAATTATAGAAAGTTTTGTTTGTGTGGCGACGTTGACTGTTGAAATCCCAGCTAATGGTGATGCTAATGACGCACTGCACTTAACTTAAGACAGCAAGACAGATGGTAAGATTAAATGATATAATGGCCAAATTAAAGGT